TATTTTATATGTCATAGCGATCCCTTAAAACCTCATTTAAAGGCTTTAGATTTTGCCAGCTCTATATTGGGGGCGGATATCTCCTCCCCGGCTAAACGTTGTTTGTTGTATTCTCTAAATAATTTATGGAAAAGCATCGTTGCCTTTTCAAGTGGATATTCGTTGTTGTTGCTGTTGCTTTTTTCAAATATATATGCACATACATGTACAAAATGTGCACGTGGCACAGCGGCAATACAAGTGATAATTTACTTTATGAAGGAGTCACAGTCACAGTTAAATGCAAGAAAAAATAAAATTTGATGCATGCGTATAATTTTGCAAGTGACATTACGAGCTTTTTTCTTCCGTTTTTTTTTTTTTTTGGTATTAATTAAAAAAAACACTTCCTGATGATCCAAAACGAAATAAGACTGGTTCGAGGTAAAAGTCAAGAGTTTAAATAAATGATTTAAATCAAGGATTCGTTCCGAGATGAATCCTTGGTCTCTCTTTGCAATTACGATTGATTCAATATCCTGAAAAAGAGGGGATATATCCCTATCCACCCGGTAAAAATCAGTTACAACTACATATTTCATTTCTTTTCTGCTTATAATATTTCCCTGTTTAAAAAGTCAAGCGAAACCACAACGCGATGCCCATCGAAATCACTAGAAATTTCTTACCCCCTAAATACACATTGATTATAAAACCAACTTTGTAGTGTATTCAAGTTCTTATTATTTCATGCCTAATTAATAATTATCAAGTCCAATAGGCAACTAAATCTGAACAAAGATTGACCACCAATTACCCCCAATCGTGTGAAGATTGGTATTTTTCCTCTTTGGGAAAAATATTCGTTTATGTTGACAGGATACTACTCAACGGCTTCTCCAGGCATTCTTACCTTCGATATTTATATTTTCTTGTTTCCTATTTATTTCGCACAGAACGGATGATCTTCTATCGAAATATCCCTAATTCGTCATCTATAGTCCATAGTCCAAGCACATGGGCACCGATTTTCTTACAGTCAGTGGCGTGTTACCTTGCCGACGGTTCAATTCAGAAGGGAGAGGTTATGTTCTCTTCCCCTGGTTGATATCTCGGTCCGAATATGATTGGCGTTACTATTCATTTAACTGATCACATTCGTAGTAGGTTAGGTGATATAATTCCCATGCTAAGAAGACAATTCTCCGCCGTTTTCCTACAGTAGCTAAGCAAACTTTCGCTTTGTCAACTTCAGAGTACGAAAATTTCATCCTTTTAAATATTAATTAATTTACATAAAGACATGTTTTGTTAAAAAAATTCTCGAAAAAATGTAGTTTAAATATATTTTAACTTATTATTATTATTATAATTTTAGACTAATGAAACAAATTCTTAGACTTAAAAAAAGACACCGAGTACTAGCAAGAAAGGCTATCGGCTCTAAATATTTTCACTTAAATCCCTCAGAGACTTCGTTTAAGAGGATTCTGCTAAAGACATAGTAGAGCTCTATAAAAATTATTTGGTGTGTGTCCTTGCTAGTTATATTTGAATATAATTTCGCATCATTATGATTATAATGAATGGAAGGACAACATTCTAACATATGGGGAAAGCGGTATAAATCAAGCCATAAGCAAAGTTTAACGGGATCAAATATTCTATAGCCATCTGGTCGTTAGCAATAATCCGTCACTAATTAATATGCGTCTACCAAGGCGTAAGCGCGTTTGGTTATTCTTTTGGCGGTGGATGGAAATTACTTCCTTATATGCAAGTTTTCAATCTTATCGCTATACCTTAGAAATGCTTGTTTGTGTGTCTTTGCAAAATTTGCTTATTCTGGAATAATTATATTTCGTTTATAATTGTGCTGAGCCGTTACTTCGATAACCTTCATACAATAATACATTTTCATATAGCGTTACAAGCGGAGAGCAAAATTGCAGTGCATTGTTGAACGGGTCATAAAAGTAAGGAAACAGTAGGTGGTAATTGTGCTGAGTTTATTTTACTTCACATTACAGTACTTTCTCCATATAAACAGCTTCAATCGATATGATTCTAAACTTTATATATTAGAGTACCTTACCCCCACAATATATCCACAATGCCATTGGAAACGGTGTAATTTCATTATGTAAAGATGATCTGATATTTTTCACTAGAGTACGCTCGATAATTTAAGGCATTCTTGATGACTATTTCCTCAGTGGGTAATTAATCTGTTACACCAAACTGAATAATGCAACCATACTAAATGTGAAGCGGTTATTTTATGAAGGGAAAGGTGAAAACCATCGCATCGATACTTCGCATTGTTTTATTATTTTCATCAATAATAATCACTGATCAAGATAGCTGCAAGCACCTATTATTTTTTTCAGCACAAAACTGACTGTAACCCATTAGATGTGATAGAAGAAAAGAAAATCATCTATCCCAGCTCATCGTAAAACAACTTCGAACCCAATCAATGCAGTTCTTCACAAGCGAAAATATATAATTTACCATGTTCAGCTAGTGCCTCGTATAATTCGAGGTATTTGCATTTATATAACTTTTTGATCTCTAAATATCGCCGACCGTAAATACCGCAGATCATAAACATCCCAGACCATATATATCCCCGACCATGAATATCCTGTTTGCAAAACAAAAGCTAGACATAACGGGTCTAATTTGTGTCGCTCTTCATTACCCATCAGCACTGCCCTTCGAATTAATTCAGAGAAATTGCACCTTGGATTTACCCAAACCTTAGTAGGAGTTGTAACTGTTTAGAACCTGCCTTCGTATACAAAAAATTGAATTTATTGTTACTTCTTTCTCTTCTTCTTCTTCTCCTTATGCAATTCAGCAAATTAACAACACATAATTCTCTGTGCTCGGTTACAAATAAGCTAAGCCAAGTTGACAACAATGTAACGGAAATGAAACGGATCCCTAAAGGACCTGACACAATCTGGCGTTATTTCTCTTTTCGGGTTGGGACGTTAACTTTAGCGACTTTACAAACTTAATGGTAATTGACAAATCATATGGGTTGGCATGTATACACACAAATAAAACGAAAACAAAAGAAGGCACAAGAAAAGAGAGAAAGACGATTTATTATAAATTTAGAAACTATTTATTTAATTTATGTTTACTTTACACTAATGTTCTGGTTCTTTTTTTGTATCATTTAATACACAAAATATAATCATTTAATCATTTAATACACAAAAATATATCTAACCTATGATCAAGAAACGAGATTTTTCTCTTTCAAGTTACTTTTATATTAACCTCTTTATTATTATTTTTTATAAATTTCTTGTTTATGTTTACATCGATCGCTTTATTTTTGTTGTAAAAACATATGTTTTTGTTTACTGTACAACAATATGGTAGCAATACCGGCATCCCGTTCCAATATGAAGAAGTACAAACCAATGCCAAGAGCGATTATACTCATCAAGAATGACGATATTAATAGGGGAATTCGGCGACCAACAAGATCCATAAGATAAATTGCAATAAAAGTAGCAATGGACTGCACAATCCCGACCAATAGCATTGAATTTTGCGTAGACATTCCTCCCTTAGATTTGTCAAATATGTCCATAGTGTAAAACATAATTGCGCTGATGCCGCCAAACTGCTGAAATAGCATTAACAAAATTGTATAAAATAAAGCTAGACTTGTAGGAGGCTGTCGAATTGATTTAGACAAAACATGGATTTTCCTTCGATTGTTGAATAAATATTACAATTTCTACAAAATCATGTTTAAGGTCATAGTCTTTACCGCGCAGGCAAAGACATGTGCGCTTTTTCTATCTTATCTTTCATCATTAAGTAAACGGGCGATTCGGGCAAAGCGATAAAAAGTAATGATGAAACGCAAGGAACAATTGCACATGCGACAATTGTATTAAATATCGATAGATAAAATTCCGAGTACAACTGCCATTTGAAAGAAAGCTCCCAAGTAACCACGCAGAACAGTCTCCGCTAGTTCCGTAGTATAGATGGGTGTGATTACGGAAAATGCTTAGATTGTGGAAACATTTTCTGCAATGGCTAGACATATCCATCCAATTATGACGAACGGTAAGCATAGCAACTATAGTGAAAAACCACATTGCAGTAAAACATTACAGTACAGTACAAACAACAGGGATTTTTTCAATTCCCTGTCATTTATAGTGTTAAGGAGTTTTATGATGAAAATAGATTTAAGATAATGATTTTATAAATAAACGCTCTTTTTATTCAAAATATTTTTACTTGTTCTCAATTTTTCACTCGATTAATATTTTTGATTTTCTTTTCTTTCATTTTTTTCGCAATTATTCAATTCCTACAACTGCTTTGTGCATTAAATTAATTTTATAACGGAGAAAAAGACATTAAGCATATAAGCACGGTTTTCCACCCTTGAGGCATCGTGGTAGGCGCCATCAATAAATGGTTAAAGTTCCTATTGAAAGGCAAAGCACAGAGTCGCTTATAATAAATAAATGGTTAAATGCCCAACGTAACAACTTAAATGTTAACGCCACTCAGCTATGTTAAATGCCCAACTTTACCGACAAAAGGGATTCAATTCTGTTAAATAACAGACCAAAGGGATTGTTAATGCAAAGCACAAAGCCGTCGGCAAAACAAAGGAAAACTTTTTCGATGTGTTAGGAGTGGTGTATATGAAAATTTAACTAAAATTTTCTTTATATTTCAAAAACACCACTGTGGCAATTGCGTTATTCTGCTCAACTATACATATATAGAGTTGGATTTCATTATTTCCATTCTTTTTTTTTGTAAATTCAAGTCAATAAAAGTTCATCTAAAAACTTTGCTATGCAAAGGTTTACTTGTGTGTGCCTCTTTTTATTATGGCGTTTTATGAAATGTCCCCGTAAATGATTGATGGGAATATATTGAAAATATCTGGCAATTCTGTTTCTAGACGGTACATCGTAATTTACGTTTGTTTAACGAGAAAATCTGTGATATCGTAAACGTAAATATTAACACTAACACTAAATTCAAGTATGCGGAAGGAAAATATTTAATTGTTTATATTTATTTAAAAAGAGATAGTATTAAGAAGACTGTAAACAGCACTTAAGAAGGGGAAATTCTATATCAAAGAAAGATAGAGAAGAAAAAGTGCACAAATGTTCGCCAAAAAGAAAAGAAACAAAAAATTCGGCTGAGATTCTCTGGGTAAAAGGACAAGAAAAACCACAAAAAAAAAAAATACACTCTGTGAGTGGAGTTGAATTTGTGGAGTGAGAGAGACAGAGTGTAAAGAAAAAAAAAGTGAAAGCAAAAGTATTGTTCGAGGAACGCCAAAAACGCTAAAGGTTGGAGAAAAAATTCTTTAAAATATTTCAAAACCAATATGCAAGTGAAAGGGAGTGGCCTTTTGAGGCTGCTCCTGGACTGTATATCTTTACTATTATGTTCCGGTTTATCGACTTCGTCTGCCACTCATCTGCGTGGCTCCTTTGATACGCAAGATTTCTTCAAATTTCTCATTAAATTTGGTTTTCAAAAAGCTGAATCGCACCGTCCGCGGGATTCATTCGGTTACATTTATGGCAATATCACTGCCTATCAAGCATTTCCTCAGCCAATCACTTTGGCAGTGTTGGACAAATCTACATTTGTGGATTTCTATAGTAATCGCAGTGCCAGCATTTTCGATCGTGAGATGGCATGCAGGCGTATGTTCCAACGTATCCAGGTATTGGCTTATGACGTTGATTGCAATAGTCACGGTAAGAGAGATTTCCTTCGGCGCATACCCTGTCCTCATGGGCATTTGTGTGAGGATGAAGATGCTCCCGGTAACGTGGTGCCAGGCAATCAGTTTACCTATGTCATCAGTGAGGTATCGCAGCCCAGGTAAACTAAACACGTTTGTTGACGTACTTTCTTTTATATTCCTTCCTATTTTTTATACGCGTTTTTCTTTTCAATGGCATTATAAAAAGAAATTGGCAGCTTTTCTCGGATGAGGTCTTTAGGTCGCAGCTTGTCTTGTTATGTTTATGGCGGCTATTTTTATGTTTGCATACTCTCTCATCAAAGACTATGCTTGTCGTTATCGAGATAAAGAAAGCAATCAACAAATCTTATTCGATTAGATAAGCAATTTATTGCTTTTTTCATGGTGAGAGCCGTAGGGTTTTTTTACTTATATACGCGTTTCACTTATAATAATTTATGACACTACCGTTTGTAACACTTAATTGACCTTATCAATAACAATTGCTTTTTCGTTTTCAGAAGAAAAACAAGAAATTTAGAAGCTTTTCTCAGAGATCAAAAAAAAAAAGATTTGATAACTATTCTGCTCTTAGTAAATCTACGTTCTTTACCGTTCTATTACTTCTGAAAGTTTCTTTGTGGCAAGGACTTTTTTTTTTTGTATAAGCCTAGCAATATTACACTCCATACAAATATACAAAAGAAAATTTTTTTTAAAAATGTTCCTTTTCCCCGACGGGGAATCGAACCCCCGGTCTCCCGCGTGACAGACGGGGATACTAAACCACTATACTATCGAGGACTCCACAAGGATGTCTTTTTCTTTGTAATATATTTCGTATTCATTTTCTGTGAGGAGAAAAACCTTTAGAAAAATTTAAAAATTCTTCTCTCGAAAGGATTCTAAAGTTGAAACTGTCTTCTTCAGCGTGAATTTTACAGCGTTATTATTCTACATAGAGTCTATTTTACATGGCCAGGCGTGGATCAATCGTTTAAGAGACTATTGTACGTGTTACTCCATAGCGGAGTATTTCTACGGTTAGTGCAGTATGTAATACATCACTCAATAAGTTCATAGGGGAATATATTGATGTCGCCACTCTCACTTTAGGGACGTTACTTTTTCATTTCTTTCAAAACAATGGAACAATCTGATCTTAGTCGGCGGCGTCACCAGACCATATGCAATTTGCAAACTAGTGATCGAAATGTCGCGGAAATTCGATACAATAGTCATGCTCTGCTATCCTACCAATCTATTGACTGATGTATTTTATGCTTTCAATAAGTGTTTTTAATAATAATTTACCCGATTTACGACAAGCATGAACAATCTGTAGATAAGGTATTCTAGTTAGAGTCGAACTGAGTCATCTGTTACGTTCAGTTCTTAGCTTACTAATCGTATTCTCCCCGTATTTCTCCCATCTACTCAGTCTGTAATCTTACTTCTAATTTCTTTTTTATCTCAAGTATTTCTAACTTTCATTTCCCCTTCACTCGTTATCTTACAGATTCTGGTATGTAGCCATGGTGGCTTGCTATCGCAATCGTTCCACGTGCCAATGGCATGCTTATGATACTTTAACTGCTCCGGCCGCCTTCCTTAATAACACCATTCACGAACTACATTACGATATTCATGTGGTTAACGGTCATCCCAATAATTCGGCTGCTCATCCTTTAACCTACGAGTTCTCTTTTGATCAACAAAATCTTTTGGAAATGTATTTAATATTTTTGCTAGTCTATATGGTACTACTGCCAATGCAAATTTATGCGGTGCGTTTGCAAAAGCATCCTGTTACCAGGCTCTTCACCCTCAGCTTACTAAGCGAATTTGTAAGTTTGGCTCTTATAACGGCTCATTTAATCAAATTTGCCGTTAACGGTGTAGGTTTGCCGAATATGCAAACGTCTGGTGATATATTGGACATATTTAGTAGGGTAAGTGAAAGTCAGAAGTTGAAATGTCTTTCCTAAGAAATTAAGGAAAATTTCTTTTTTACCTTCAGACCACTTTTATGTTGATTTTATTGCTTTTGGCAAAAGGCTGGGCTGTAACCCGTCAGCAAATTAGTCGCACCGGTTGGATTATATTAATGAGCATTTGGGTGCCATATTGTGCTTTCCACGTGTTCCTGTACTATTGGAATAGAGTGAGTTTGAAAGACTTTTTCAGAAAATTAAATGTTTCTAAATTCGTAAATTATTTTAGACTGAAGTGGATATTGTGTCTGATGTTGATGAATATCAAACTTGGCCAGGCTGGATCGTTTTGATATTACGGTAAATGTAATTTTTGGAAAAATGCCCGAATGTCGAAGATATTTATTTGTTTAAATGTGCCGCTCAAAGGACATTGTTTTTAATAACTGCATTTTTTTTTGGAAGTCTGGTGGCTTTTTGTACCGCTGCGTTTATGAAAAGAAAAGACCCAAAACTATCCGCGTAATCAGTGAACTCGTGTCAACATCTCCCGAATTGTCAAGTAATCTTATGAGCGCAAAAATATCATGTGATTCGGAATCGACCCAAACTTGTCTGTCCATCTGTCCGTCTTGTTTTCTTAGGTTCAATTTACAAAACGCAATTTTTCAAATATTTTAGTATAATTTGGCACATTGCCATTTCTTTGTTCAAGGACGAACGCTATTGTTCCACATAGCCTGATTTTGAAAAATTGTTGTATGAATAAATTGCGTCACTAAAATTGTGGAGAATAATAAATAAATAAATTCCTACGCTAAAGAATTTCTTTAACTACGTATGTACTAAGTCCGTTTAACATTAATGACGGTTTCATACCTCGTGCTTTATAGGTATGGTTTTAAGTTTCAATTTATCGGAAAATCTTTAAATTTCCTCTAACGCACCCTAAACATTAAAAAAAAAAACGGTGCGAAATTTTTAAAAAGTAATCCTTCTGTAAATCACTTTTCGTCTCCCAAAAATTGGGAATTCGGTCAACAAAACACCTCTCCCTTCAAAAAATTGTAATAACCCTCCTTTCAATTTAAAGTAGTCTTAATAATAATCTGAATTCACTTTTTGAAATTTTTCGACATCTCTGTTTTTTCCCCTTTTTAGCACCACATTCATGTTGTGGTTTCTATATGAGCTACGCAATACTATGAAGTACGAACATTCTTCGAAGAAATTAGATTTTCTTTTGCACTTAGGTGCTTCGAGTCTGGTATGGTTCATCTACTTACCAATTGTAGCAATAGTGGCTTTACAAGTTAGCCCCATGTGGAGGTATAAACTATTATTAGGAATAACCAATTCAGCCGATTGTTTAGCTTATTGTGTAATGACTGGTTTACTATGGCCGAATCGATCGGGCCAATATTTACTCCTAACAGGCACTAAATATGCGGGTAAGCCCGAAACAAATATTTCAAAATTTCATAGATTAAATTAATCTCTTCTGTTTTGTTTTTCTCAAGGAATGGACGAACTGGATGAATTTAATGAAGCACCTCATATAGTGCGTGAACGAGAACGTAGGCAAAATTCTTTAGATAATGGAATAGTAGAAGTAATAACATCTCATCATTCTAATAATAATCATTCGATAGCTATTAGAACTAATGCTACTGGTAATGCCCTAAGTGATGAAATTGTTAATCCAGCTAATGAAGGTTCTACCAATTTACTACACAATGAAGAATTAGAAGCCGATTTATTAACAGATCTTAATAAAAATAGTCATATTGTGGCATGAATGCAAAGTTTGAGATATATATATATATATATACATACATATATTTATATATATATATGTAAAGATTTTTAAACGTCACTGTAACGATACTTTTCTCCAAACACAGGCGCAATTAATCAACTAGTGCTTATGAAAATGGTTTTTATTGTATTAATTAAAAAAAAAAAAAACAAAAACAAAAAAAAATATAAAGTTATATTTTAAAAAAATTTAGCTTTAGTTTGACCAGAATCTCTGGCTAATAAAGCTGGAGATTAAGTAAGGAAACGTGATAATTATTATTATTATTATTGTAAATTTTAAGAGTTTTGAGTAATTTTCTCAAGTGTTTTTCAAAACCTCCATTTCATTATAATCCTTTAATGATCGCCCTCTTCCAGCTCCTTCACATTTTTAAGCACACAACATTGCAGTCAGTCAATCCATTCTTGTTAGTGTACAAAAGCATAAGCAACAAAAAGAAGGAAAAAAACTTATTTTAAAAAACCCCTTAGAGCAGCATACATACTGAATACTGAATGTATTTGTTTTTGTATCCTTAGGATATGCGACTTATTTTAAATCGTGTATAGTTATATAGTTTAATTTTTTCGTTTCTTTTTTTTTTTCTTTTTTTTTAATTATAAAATATAATAACATAGGTAAGTTTTTACACACAACGCGTATTGTTTGCCATTTTTGTGATCAAAAAAACAACTACAAATGCAAAAAAAAAAAAAAGTAAACAAAGTTTTAAATGATTTTTTTTAATAATAAAAACGTAGATTTTAAGAACATATTGCAAATTTAGAAACAAACAAACGAAAACGAAAAAAAACTAATTTTTTATAAACTTTTTATTTTCATACTTATGCAACAATTTTTTAATTAATTTTTAGTGATTTATATATATATGAAGAAATAAATATATATGTATAAAATTTAGTTATATTTCCTATATTATAGGTTTTAATATTTAAGGAAATTGAAAGCAGAAATAAAAAACGAGAGTATAACGAGCAAATCTTAACCAAGTGTTTTTCTTTTTTTTTATGCCCATCGTCCAGAAGGAAGCTTCAGAAAGGGCTTGACCACCGTCCAAATCTAAGCCAATTAAAGCATGTCCGTCTCTCTGTCCGTCTGAGATATATATTTCCCTGATCGCGAAAAGTAAGCTATCAGCTTCAAAATTGGCAGAAACATTGGAAATTTTAGCACGAAGACTGGAAGGCTGGAAATGAAAATTTAAAGAAAAAGAGCAACAAAGCCAAGAGAACAAAACGCATAAAATGCTTAAGTAAACGAAAACGGAAATGTAACGAAGCAAGTGTTCATGTTTACTATACTAAGACAGTGGTATTGAAATTCATTCAAATCGCACAACATAATCTGAAAATGTTTACAAAACTTGCAAAGAAACTGCGCTCAAGTCTTATCAAGTCTACATGATATTGATCAGTATCAAATTCTGAACAACGACAACATGTGCTTAGAAATTTAAGAGAAGGAGAACATTGAACATATTTTCCATATTGCGTTTACTTGTAAGCTTAGACTTTTTGTTTTTACTCTTAACGGAATATGAAATGCAGATTTTGCTTATTAAAAAAAAAAAAAGCAACAACAACAAAAAGTAACTAAACATTACGAGATTATGCATTGCGGGATGATGCAAATGTTCCTTATAACTGGAGTGAGCTAACTATTAATTGTGAAATAGATATGTATGTAGATTTCCCGCCAATTTGTATTTGCGAAATTTCGTTTTACATTTTTTTAATCTTTTTTTTTCTTGTTTGAACTTGATTTCACATTTTTGCATTATCTTCTTTTCTTTGCCTAAACACAACAAGAAATGCTTCATAAGCACAATTAACAGGAACACACACACGCATACACATACACACCAACGAAAAAGAAAAAAAATTCATATTTTCAACCTTTAAAAATTATCACAATTTATTTCAAATTTTCTTTCAATTATTTGTAAAATTGTTATTTTTTTTGTTCAATTTCTTACGTACAGGAATTTTCTATACGCACATTTTTTTTGTATTGTTAATGTTTCGCCAAGAACTATTATAACAATCACATCTTTGTTTTTAATTTCCCTAAGGGCAACATTTACTTTGCACTCGGCCGAAAACAAAGAGTAACTAAACATCGATCAATGAAGAGAATTAATAAAGCATATGTGACTTTCTCATAACGGAAATAAAGTATAAAGTATATCAGTGAGTTAGTTGCATGCAATTACACATATGTAAAAGAGAAGATCGATTTTTTTTTCTGTTAAATTTTCTGTCAGTGTTCTGTTAAAGATAAGAATATACCGGTGGACTTAATAAAGGCGAAACTTAAAATCAAAATATCCTAACCAACACTTTATCTTGGTTAAGCTTAATCAGTGTAAATTTAATTATGAGCTGTTCAATCCGCTCAGAGTTGTTTGCAAGAACCTAAATGACGTCTACCACTTATTCCCGTTATCGGACTCTTTAAAGTCCATTAAAGCAACATTGCTTAATACGCGCGATTTACCTATGCCGTAGCTTTTATCCTTAAAAAGTCGTTACGTTTCGAAAATGAATTATTGTCAATTTATTATCGGTTGCCAGGCTTACGCATGTTTGCGATGGCTTAGGAGTTCATTTGCAATTTGGTCCTGTACCGGTTGTAAGTGTGGCCCTATGCTGATAGTGTACATGCTTTTTTTTCTTTTTCTTTTTTTTTCTTCTTATTTGTTTTATTATACTTATACTCAATTTTATTATTAATTAATATAAGTTTTGCATTAAGAGCCAATTGAACTCGACTGTTATTTGTTTAGTTGAGTTTCTAGTATAAGTGGAATAAATAAAATAAATAAATAAATAAATAAACACGTGGTATTTAATAAACCATTTATACCAAACCTTATTTTAAAACGTATTTAGATAAGTTTTATTTAATGCACATTTATTTATTTAATTTAAGACTAGTGAAAGCATTCATTGGGACGCGATGCATCATTAAATACCCTACTTCACTTCGCTTAATGCAGCTATTTATATAAGGCGTTGGAAGTATTCGAAAAATTGGCGCGATCCGAGCCATTTTCAATAGCTTTCATCACTGGGTATACCAAACTTCATGGAAATACCTCGACATGTATGGCGAACACAAGACAAGCTTAAAATTTCCTACTAAACTGATCTATTTATGCACTTATCACATGTCCGTGTATATCAATTGATTGAACCAAATTTTAGCTCGGAAACATACATACGGATAATAATAGTATTGAGCACACAATCTGAACCGAAATGAAATGCGAATTTAGTAAACGCTTAAAAATATGGACAGTGCTTAGAGATTAAAAATTAAATTAAATTATTACCGCAATGTGGTTACTATGTTAAATATCTGCTACTTCTAAATAAAAATTTGAATTGTTTGGCATTATAGACATACTTTTACGCTCTACATCACTTATGATAAAAGGATATGTCAAGTTTGTGTGGATCTATGCAAAACCCAGGAGGACGTGAGATAGGCTCAATTTAATTAAATAAGATGTACTCTCCACTTGTTGTTCTACTACTATGGAAACTTTCTCGTAAATACAACGAATTTTCATAAGTAACCTCAGTTTGAAAGGTTTTATTGCAGTGTTGTGAAATGTTAAACTTTTTTTAACGTTTGTAAAACTTTATTACAATAAGTGTTTTACGATGTTTGCTTCGAATTAATTATCAAAGCAATTTTTCGTACTATGGCAGCATTGCAAGCATTAAAACAAAATTAACCAAAACAGAAGAAAATTTTCTCAATTCATAAGTAATCTCTCGTCTATAATTATTTGCATTTTCTGTGATTTGATAATGTTCCAAACAAATTAATAACCAATACATAAATATCCACTTCATGTAAAGTATTAATGACTAATTTAAGTAGGTAACTAAATAACGCGAAAATTCCTTAAAATAGTGAAATTACAATAGAGAGGAAAAGAGAGAGAGAGAGACATAGTTAAGTAAGATTACAAGAAGAAAACAATAATGAACAACGAAAACAATGTTGTTCACGATGCAAATGCCTCAACAGAAGAAACCTCACCTACCAGCGCAACCAAAGAAAAGAAATTAAGTTGGTTTCATTCCTTGACACGTCGCAAAAAAATCGCATCACCCTCTTCAACTAACAGCAGCAGCACTGCCAGTAATGATACAATGAATAATAACAATGAACCTGCTGGTAGGATGTCGGCGGGAATAAGTAGAGAAGAGGGATTAAATGCAAGCTCAAGTAAAGGACGTAAAAGGAAAGAAGACAAAAATGTATTTCAACGTTTTCGTAAGAAAATGGGTCTACGTTTTCATTCGTTACGTCGTCGTCACGCCGATGAAAATGGAGAGATTTATGATATTATTGCCAATGGCACAATAGATGCCTCCTCCGAATTTCTTACCCATTCGCCAATGCATGAATCCTTGTCCTTCAATTTCATACGAAGTAACAGTCAAGCAGCCAATTTACTGCATGAAGAGCCCGAGATGATACCTTTTACACAAGACTTTAAACGTTTTATAGTAAAAAAATGGCTAGAACGTGAGGAAGGACCTAATCGCGTTATGTACAAAGCCAGCAACGAAATGTTAAGGTATGTTCGCACCTTCGAAATAAAGAAATTTAATCCACATATATGTATATATATATAAATTTTATAGTCAAGTATGGTACTGGGGTGAGATTTCAAGGCAAGATGCTCAAAAACAATTAACCGATAAACCGACAGGTTCGTTTCTCGTACGTGATTCCGAAAGTATTGGCTGTCAGTTCACGTTATCATTTCGTATAATCAATGTAACATTACACTATCGGCTGGAGTATCGCGATGATTATTGGCATTTTGAAGAACTGGAATACGAGTCCATAGTCGAGATGATTGAAGATATTCTGTATCGCTGTACGAATGATAATTTTGTATGTTTTGTTAAAGTGCCGAATGAAATGCAACCACCATTTCCCGTTATACTTAAATATCCTCTCAGCCGATATTTGAACATGCCCAAGCTGCAGGATTTATGCCGTAGGGTAATACAGCGCACTAACACTGCTGAGGAAATAGCTCGTTTACCTCTACCGCCTACGTTGAAAGAATATTTGGCTGAGAAAAGAGAATTGCTCTTTTAGAAGCGAAAACCTTGCACTCTATACAAAAACCCCAAAACCAAAGATTTTCAAAGCGAGATTTAACCTCTCACTGTGCAATAACAACGTCTGCACTCCAATATTTTTTTTTCTTGTATTTGTTTTATAAAGCATTCAACTGCTTTTTCACATTTTAGCTGAGGCCTTTATGCATTTATATGCGTATGTATGTATGTATTATCTCTTAATTGAAGGCTTCTTCCAAAAAGTTTATCATTGTGTCTTCCTTAAAACGAACAATATAAGCATTACCTAACAACAATATTAGAGTTACTTTTCGGTATTCCTAGAAAATAGAAAATATTTTGTTTTATACGTTATATGTGATACTGATGATGATCAATTTATCCACAAACGTAACAATACGCACACTTATAGAAACATATTTGAAATATTCAAAAAATACATATAATATATATAAATATATATATATATATATATATTTTTAATATAATGCAAAAACTATTACATTTTCCTGTTCGAACTTTGTTTTGTTTGTTTCGTTGTGTGAATTCGCAGCAAGCAAGTCAGTAGATCCTTTAGAATTTTTATAAGACCGTCAAAGAATAGTTATAGTTTTCTTCTATGCTTTATCCAGATTGTTGAAGAAAAAATCATTGGTGTTTTGATCAAAAAGTATCGGGAACCAAAATCATTTAAACATCTCACAAAGTGAAATAGTCAGTAAGCCTGTCTTTCTTCTCTGCATTTGTCGCATTAATGTCTGCGCTGAATATCAACTGCAAGAAGAACAAGAACAAGAATAGTTTCTTGGGCAGCAGAAAGAATTCCGAAATATATACTAGATTGGGTATGTTTGACCTCGATGTTAATGGCCAACAAATCAAAAGTGAATCTGGAACAATGCGTTGATAAACCACCTCCAATTAGTTGTAGATATCATGGACATTAAATATTGCGGGTAGATTTAACACATTGATGATCCCTACTTCAATCTATGCGTTTACAGGCGTTAAAAAACATCCTACAGTTCCCGAAACTTTTTCTTCATATATATAGAAGATTTTTCCTTCAATTTTTTATATTTTTTGAATTAGTTGATTTTTTAGTTATAAAACTGTAAAATATAAGTAAATAAATTATTTTAAAAGTTGAAAGCAAAAGTTATTTAATAAAATCAATTTTAGTAATTTCACTCAAGTTCTTAAGCTTATCATCTTTGAAATAAAACTATTAAAGTATGAAACAACGCAGAAGAGCTTAAGGCAGCTGCACAGATGCATGCAATGGATGCCAAATGCCAGATGAGGTGCACCTATCACCTATAGTTATTCAATATAAGTCGCTATATGGGGAAGTGGATCGATCCAAGCCATTTTCAACAGTATTCGTCAGTGCACCAAGCTTCATAAAAAAAAGGTATTCGGTCGATTCATTATCACTTTTTGAATCGATCGGTATGATTTGCATACATTCGCACAAGCTAAATACAGCCTTGTATCACAAGTGGCATAGGATCTAATAACTTATAATATACAAAAATCGTTTTCGATAATCACCGTATTACTCAAATACTCTGTCTCTCCGTCCTTTGCTATTTACCATGGAAATATTTTAGTATAAACGCCTATTTATTGTGATGCCGAAAACGAATCCCCGAATAAATGTTTGATTTGAAAAACTTTTTTTATTCCTATCGTTAAAGCAAAAAAAATGTGATCAATTTTTACAAAGGCTATTAAAGGTATAACCCTTTGTAATTTATGGCTTTTAAAGAAATACAAGAAACCCTAACGGATATCACTGCTTTTAAAAGCATTTACACGTAAAGGACAAACATTGCAGATTACCATTTTTTAAATGGTTTTCTCTTCAAATATGAATCATATATTATAAATGTATTTTTTAATTTTACAAAGTTCAAGACTCGGAGTAAATTTTGACATCTTCTAAATCACATAGCTTGGCTTGCAAGCGATAAGAGTTAGATTGAATATTATCGGAAATCCAATGATATTTCGACGGTACATGACGAAGTTCGGAGAGTCCATCTGAAAAATGAACTATATAAATGTGTGTGCAAGCATTAGTCTGTGTAAGTATTACCAACTACTAGGATTTTAATGGATTTCAAACGTTGATTGATGTATTCACATTTCCCAGCCATATAATTTGTTTTAGACCGTTTTTGCCCCTTACCGACGTAAGGAACCTGAAAGAAACACGAACAATTATGCATATATATATGCATGTACATAGACATACAGACCTTGAACACTATTATATCATCCGGTTTGGGTAAATCATATAACCTTACGCAAAATGGTAAAATTTTCGCAACATTTGTATCATTGTAGGCAGATGCCGGTAATAAGAGACTTTGCTTGCTGGTATTTTCTGATTATGAAAATTTTATTAGAAAGAAGAAGGAATGTTAAATTTTATAAAGAAAAAAACAAATTAATTTTTTATTCACCATCGTTGGTTTCGTTGAGATCAATAATTTCGGAAATTTCTTCAATATCAGACTCGCCGGAATCATTGCAATTGATTTTAATACTTTCAGCTAACGAAGTTGTTCCCATCTCTTCATCAAAGTCAGCGCTGAGATCAATACAGTCTACAGTGGAGTTGTCTGACAAAGCTGTTGCCGTACCAGCCTTCTTAACCCTGACAATATGTTCAACAGTCTGATCCTCTTTTTTGTCGTCTGATGAACAAGTTTTCAGGGTAATCTTGATTCCGATAGTTTCATTGTTTTCATTGGAAATCCCTCCCATATTCTCATCAGCAGATTCCTGTTGAATTTCTTTGCTAGTTTTCTCCTCACTATTACTTTCAATTTCTTCATAACCAGTTGCCTCAGTAAGTCTTTCAGATGCATTTTTTGTTACAGTTTCTGTCTCTTGACATATTTTGGGTGATTTTTCCAAGTCCTGAGCTACACTTTTAATCGGCCCTTTTGTTAAACTGTTCGGTTCCAGTGCGATATTCTCTTTGATTTCGATAATGCTTTTAGGTTTCTCAACAATCGCCCAAGGCAAGGAGAAAACACGTGCTTTTTCTAAAATATCGCGGGTTCCATTTAAAGGACACCGAAATACAACTTTTTTGCCTTGCTTGCAAACTTTGGCAGTCTCGGCGGTTGTAGATACTGCTGCATCCGTATCCAGAAAGTGAATGTGTTTAGCTTCGGCAGAGTCCTCCAATTTAAGACCCGTTTTGGGGAAAGGGGTTGAATTTGTTATTTTTGAAGATCGAGTGAAATCAGTTTCTTTTTCTATTTGATTTGCCTGACCTTGTGGAGAATCTTTGGCAAGACTTTTGGTTTTTTTTTTATTTGCTGTACGATCCCTGTTTCCGTCATTAGTTTCTGCTACAGTTTCACTAGTGCTGGATATTTCACTAGATTTATTAACTTTTTGCCTCTTAATTGCCACGCCTAGATCAAAGTGATCATTTCGGCCGTTATTACTTTTAGATTCGGTCATCGTGGAGCTGTTGGAGGCGTTTTCCAATACATCAAGTTTGCGTTTTTTCTTCACTTCTTTTGCTGGAAGCTCGGGTGGCACCACCGTCGCCTCATCCTGATGACGTTTTTCTTTTTTATTTTTGCTTTTCCTTTTCTCCAGACACTCTTTGGGAACAAACGCTCTGGTCAAAAAGAAAGGAAAACAAAAAAAAATAGGGTTAAACTATTATTTTATGTTTATTTATAATGAGTCGAAAACTACTTACTTCAAACTCGAACACAATTTAACGATTTCAATTGACTCTTTGGGATGCAAAAAGCAATCATCGCTGGTTGTGAAACGTACTAAATCCACATCGAAAAGTGTTCGCACGCGATTTTGTAAGTCCTCCACAAACTTCCATGCAGATTCGACCATTATAAATATTAATTTCCTTTCATCGTCGAAAAATGGTGACAAGTCAATTTTTACTCCAAATCTTTGCATTTTCTTATGATACGAGTAAACCTCGTTTACAGGTACAAAAAAAATTATAATCCCAAAGATATTTGTTAATCCTTTTTTTTTATTTTTTTTTGAGTCAAGCGAAGTTTTCAAAATTTTTACATTCACAAACACACAATAAATTTTTAAATGCCGGCAAACAGAGCAAATAGCTCTCGATAACAGCTAACTGCTCTATGCTTGCTTATCAAACAGATATCGCAACGACAGCTACGGGATAAGCACGTAGGAAAAATTTAGCTCTCATTTTTGTTTCAAAATATTTAGCAAAAGCCGAAAGTTAAATTTTGAATACGCGATGGCTCTTAAAGCTTGCGCGTTTCAAGGGGAGGAAAACGCATTTCAAATTCCGTGATAATATGAAACGCCGGCGATATATAATGGAAAAAAAAAGATTGTTTTTATTTCGTCGTGCTGAAGCGAAAAAGAGTTGATGAAAACACATAATCGTAAGCATAATAACTTAGTTGAAAGTTAGCAATGGATGCTGAAGAAGTCTTCTCCCCCAATCTGCTGTTGTGGACAAACTCTTACTATAAAGCACATTCTCTGCGACTGCCTCAACTTTTCCTTGGCTAGAAGTATTGCATTTGGAACGATTAACCCTTTGAACATTCTACAATCAGCTTAAGAACAGAATATCAATTCAATATATTACTTTATTAATACTACTAAGCTTATTATCTAATATCCATTTATTTAAATTAGAGCCGATAGCCTGTGTTGCTAGTGCTCAATGTCTCTTTTTTTAGTCTAAGAATTCAATTCATTAGTCTGAAATTAAAATAATAATAATAGCTTTTGTCTTCGTCATTGGCTTCTTAGTAAAAGCAGTTGAAAACCAAATTGAAAGTTAAATTTTGCATACGCGATGAAACCCAAGGCTACCGCGTCGCAAGAGGAGGAAAACGTATTCTCAATCCAGTAAGCTTATCTCTCTTTCGTTATGCTGAAGTGAAACAGAGTTAATGAAAGTACATAATTAGGGGCGTAAACGTAAAGTCGATTGTTAGCTTTCGCCTTGGTTACTTCCCAAAAGCAACTGAAACCAAAATTGAAATTAAAAGTTTCCATATCTGATAAATCACAAGCTTAGAGCGAGCAAAACGCATTTCAAACCTAGTGACAAAAGAAAACGACACCCTCGAAAAACATCGATAAGTTTTCCACATTTTCGTCTCTAGCTTATCGCTCATCCCGTGGTGATTTTTTCGAACACCTTCTCTAATTTATGTGATCAGCTGTTGTTGTTATCTGCTTTGTTATTTATGTGCAAAGTAAACAATTATTTAGATATTTTCAAATAGGAAATATTGTCAGATTTAGAAAAAAAATGTCTGCTAAAGAACAAAAAGCTTTGCTTAAGGAAATACGCGAACTAATAAAAAATGATAAATACCGAGAGGCCATCAGCAAATGTGAGGTACGCCAGGAAATGAAGTGGATTTTTAAAAACTTTCATTTAGTTCACTTTGCCAAATTATTTTTAGCTGGTCTTGAAGTACGAACCCAATAATTATATGGGACTTTTATTGTTGGGTGCCGCTTATCAGAATGTCGACAAACAAGAAGCTGCCAATTACCTACGTAAAGCTGTTCAATATTCGCCAACAACGCCGACTGTTGCTTTACAAGGTCTGGCCAACTGTGCGCCCACCGATGAATTACCTAAAATTTTGGAGCAATTAATTGATTTGGTACCGTAAGTATTATGAGGCCAATAGACGAATTAAATGGTTCTTGGGATATCTTTAATTAAGGGAATCATTTGCTAACGATTGTCTGTTGCACTTCGCACCTCAGCTGGACTTTTGTTACACCATGCAACACTTATGCATAAGAGTTTATTAAGTTCATGCGGATGTCCGTCCACAATCATCTATACCATTGTAGGGTACAACAAAATTTTTGACAGTAATTTGAAAGGAAAATATTCGTATTTAGAATTCTCTCTCTGATCTAGCAAATTAATGAACTTGACTGATAACTTTCTACGTTTTGGACAATTTTTGTTTTGCAGGGAAAAACAAAGCGATTATATCGAGAAACTGTACAGCACATCCACTAAGCCGAAAATGGCTTTGGAATGCTTTGAAATAATCAGCGAAAAATTGGAGAAAAACCACAATGAAGCTTTGCGGGATGTGCTCTTGAAGTATTTAGGACGTATATGGATTGAAAATGATTTGTCTCCAGCTTTGTTAAATGAAAATTTGGTATACGATAAAGATAACTATGCGAGATATTTATTTATTTAATTGTTTTTTCCCCGTTCAGTACAAATCTGCTTTGGAGGCTGTAATTTCAGACCCTAGTCTCCAGATACACTTCCCAGCATATAAATGTTATTTAAAGCTGCTGTTTAAACAAAATGAATTAACAGCTTGCCTTAGTCATGCCTGCAAGGTGATCGACCTGTATCCGAAAGATATTTATGCTTATGGATGGATTTGTAAAATTTATTGTGACAATTATGAAAAGAATCAATTTATAGCTTTTGATGGCCTAACGCAATCAGTTGATTTTTATGCCTCGAAACTATTGGAGCTGAACGAAAATTCTTATTTAGGTTTAGTAGTAAAAGCAATTGACTCTTATAATACGCAACAATATGTTACTTCACGTCAACTTTTATCTCACGCATTGAAAGAAGAACCAAATTATATGGTAGCCGTTAAGCTGTTGGCCCGCACTGAAACTCATTTAGAAGCTTATGATTTAGCGGAAGAATTATGGCAACGTTTAGGGAAAGAATTTCGCGAAGAGTACGCCTTATGTCTCTCGCACGCGCAAGAGGAAAGTAAATTGCAAGAAGCTTTGAATTTGTTAAACGAAGAAAATCTTTCACCGAAAGCTTTACAAGCCACAGCCAGGTACGTATTGTGTTGTTTGAAAATTGTCATCTCGAATTAAACTGCTCTTATTGTAGGTGTTATTATAAATTGGGGGATTTAACTAAGCTAAAATCCCTATCCATGGATGATTTAACAAAGGCTGAGTTTCTTCTGTAAGTGTGCTTAGTATGCCCTTCTTCAACATGCATCTCACTGCGCAAAAATTTCCAGATCACCAAAACAGGCCATAGATTATTTGAATGGTTCGACAATTGATTTGGAGAGTTTCTCATCGCTACTGTTATTGGGAAAACTGTATTATAAAATTGGGAATTTTTCTCAAGCTTTAAATAATATTCTAAAAGCTACGCGTCTACGACCTTACAGCTCTGAATGCTTTTTTTATTTAGGTAAAATTTATTTTGCTCTAAACGATATCGTGCGTTCGCGTAAATGTTTTGAAAAATGTATTACCTTAAATCCTCTGAATGATTTGGCAGTAGATAATTTATCTGCCATTTATCAACAAATCGATGAAGAGGTAAAATGTTTTATGCTTTTAAAAATGCAATTCCTAAAATTATTGCTTTCATCCACAGGATTTAAATGTGGCTTTGTTGACGAATACCTTAAAATATCTGAACAATTCCCAACGGGCTAAACATTTGCATTATAAATTAGGTTTACATTACTTAAGTGTTAACAACTTCGATGAGGTAACTATTAATTATAATTTTATATTCTTTTTTATTGCCTACACCGTTGGTGGTACAAAGGCAAATTAAGCTAATGAGGATGTGTGCATTGAGATAAACCCATGCTTTTTCATTGCACCGACCGATTTGGAATAACCTTCTCGATCGATTTAGGCTTGTCTTGCTTTTTTGCGTTCATTTTCATAAAATCCGGCATACTGTCGCGCTTTGGTCCAAAAGCATTTGGACGCTATTGAAAATGGTTCGGATGGGACTACTTTTTCTACTGCCTATCATGCAACACCTTTTTCTTAAAAAACCGTAATATGAGTAACGGTAGAGTGATGCACGGTATTCAATATAACCGTGGTCCGCTACAGTGCTTTTATTCGCTTTTCTTACCGTAAAGGATTTATCACATTATTTATGTTTACAAAGGCTTTTAAGGCTTAAAAAGTCTATGCACTCTTCATCAGACTGATTAAGAAAATTGATTTAGCCTTGTCTGCCTTTATGTCCACTCATTGAAATCAGAATTGTTACTTCAACATGTTGCTTAAACAAAAAAAAAAAAAAAAAAACTGCTTCAAATATGTTCGCAGCCCGCGATCGGTAAGTTAAGTTGGTCTATTTATCCGGCTGAAATTGTGAAAAAATGTTATGAGGAGTTTTCGTGGAACATTCGTATCTTAGAGTGATTACGCTTGAGTAAAACAACTGAAAACCTTGTAATTGGACAAGGCTTATCCACTGAATACTCCGCAGCACATGGGCTAATACCTTTCGTTTATTTTCGTGATAAGACAGTAAGAATTGTTCATTATTGTCGTTTAAACATATATTTTTCATGAAAGCCCCCACACTGTAGGGTGTCCAAAACATTAACTAATAAGATTCAAATTTAGAAAATTTGATTTACTATTTAAAGATTTTCTTTTTTACTTTTTTTCGTCATGAAAGACTACAAGTTACACATTGTCTTCTTACGAGAAACCCTACGTATAATAGGATCTAAATTATTCTTACGGTTAATTTTTATGCCAAATTGCTAATATGGAACAATTTTCATTGTAAAACATAAAAAACCAGTTATTTTTGTCATTTAAAGACTTATTTTTCATGAAAATCCTTATATAGGTATACAGACTTGTTGGGTCTAAATTCGTAGATGTTAATTTTTATGTCAAATTATGTCAATTATGGACTAATTTTCTCCAGCAAATATTCAAAATTACATTTTCTTCCCATAGGAAAGTTCAGTTTCCGTAGCGCCGGTTTTAAACCGTTTGACCCGCCTGATACGAACTTTCACATTTTTTTTGTCGACGAATTTTGAGAATTGGAATTTTTTTCATATAACGATTTTTCAGAATAAGATAGATATAGACAGATATTAGTAAGACAGACGGACAGACAGACAGAGAGACAAGCTGAGATCAATTCACTAAATGATTATCAAGCAATCGACATAATAAAAGGTGAATCCATCTCAAGTCTTTTTGCGTATTACAAACATCCGCACAATATCCTCTGCTGTAATTGGTGTAGAGTATCATTGGTGTAGAGTATGATTGATTACTTACATATGGTGCAAGCTTAAGAATTAATATGAATAGATCCAATAGATCCGAAAATTGAGAGTGATTCAGCGATTTATTCAAACGTTCCGGTCGAAAGGACATTGATAGTTCCGTTAAACTATGATGGGACGCTTTCTTATAGCCTAAAAGTCCTTGAAACAATTTTGGTACAGTTTTAGTACTTTAACGTTATGAGTAGAATAAGGGATTAAGGAAGAGCTCCTGGCTTGCGTAATAAGTGCTTTTTTAATTTTATGGAGTAAATTCGTTTAATCGGAGAATGACTTTAATCTGGTCTCACGATATATTTGCAGAATTATCGATTCTTTGCTTTTGAGAATTAACACTTTAACCGAAAGCCTAATTTTAGTTAAACAAGGACTTTGTAATCTTATAACTCGATATTATTCTAGGCTATACAATCCTTTCGCACGGCCATTAAACAGGACGTGTCTTGCATGATTTATTGGGAATCTTTAGGCGATGCCTACGCGGAAAGGGGTTCTTATAATTCGGCGATAAGAGTTTTTCAAAAAATTTTGGAAATGCAACCAGACAATCTTTACGCCCAACTTCAAGTGGCTTTAATGAAAGTGGTAAGCGGTGTGAATAAATATAAATTTTTATATAATTATGAATTCTAAACGTTAATCCGTTAGACTACGCGCATGTATTCAGAATCTATAGAAAATTTCGATCGTTTACTTAAAAGTAATAACGATTATCTGCCTGCTTTAAAAGGAGCTGCTGAAGCCCATTTGGGTTTGGCTAATTACTTAAAAAGCGAATACCGTTATGGTAGAGCTAAACATCATTTACAAACTGCCGTAAATATGCTACAAAGGTAGGCAAGCATGAAAAGTGTTAATATGTATTATACCCATCACCGAAGTGTGACGTTCCCCAGTGGGAAGCTTTTGAGAGCCCACGAAGCACATATACTGTTGTCCAGTATCACAGCAGGTTCATCTGTCCGTCTGTCCGTCTATGTACTGTCTGTTGCTAACATTGTGGCCGCAAAAATGAAGCTATCGACTCCAAATTTGGCAGAAACATTGGAAGTTCTTAGGCGCGGGTCGATATTGCAAATGTGCCAAATCGGTCGAATTAGACGTCTAGTGCAGCACATAAAAGGAAAACACCATTGTTTTCCTTTCCTACTTACAAACTGCAGCAGTTAAGCCTATACAAACTTGGACCCTAACTTAATGGGCGTTGCTATAGTACCTTTACAAAACAAGTCCGCTTTTATGGAGTGTCATAATTTAGTTTAGCACAGAAACCTCATATAGTGTAGAAATTCATTCCAGTTTCTGACTACCCTACACGCGGAATGCACTTAACAATGTCCGTATGTCCAACTTTGTAGTACCTACAATGAACATTCTCCTGTTTGCAAAAATGAAGATATAGCTTAGAAACTTGCTATAGAAACTTGCAAAAGAATACGAAAATGGACACTCCTGCAACACCCACACGCTTTTATGCTTTGTTTGTTACTAATATATACTTAAGTACAACATATACACCATATAAATTTCCCCCCTTTTATTCGGAAAATATAGAAAATCGACCACGCCCAACCAATATTATAGAGTACAAGAACGTAGTTGTTTTCCTGTTTTTAGTCTTTTTCCAGAGTAAAGGTGGTGGGTATGAAAGATTCGGTCTCAGCTGAACTTGTTTTATTATCTTATAAATAATTTTGTTAAATATTTCCAGATGTTTCTTGAATAGTGAAAACCTTAATATGGTTTGGCTTTGGCGTTTAACGGCAAACGCTTTCGTTTTAACTGCTCAGATGTCAGAATCTATGGCAAACTTAGATGTCAATGGTCTTTTAGCTAAACGTGAAAGCGAAATTGTTTTCTTAACACGCAAGGATTTATTTAAATTAGCCGCTAGGTAAGATAAATCGGTTAATATGTGTCTACAAGAACAAGAAAGATTTATTTTTATTATTTTATTATTTAAGATTTTACACATGTGCTTTAACAATTAAATCAAACACGTATTTATGGTACGAATTGGCTTTGTGTTACTATTACATGGCCGATTACATAAACGAAGAAGCTGAAAATCATTTAGATATGGCTACGAAAGCATGTCAAATGGCGATTAAAGAACAAAGCAATCGTTGGCAAAATTGGAACTTATTGGGTGTTATAAATATGCATCAAAGTGAGAAATGATTTGAAATTATTTATAGTTGAAATCTAAAACTAGAAATTTTAAAGTTAAAGAAAATTATCCAATGGCTCAGCATTGTTTCATACAAGCGCTTAATTTAGATCGTAAATCTTACACTACATGGACTAACTTGGGAGTTTTATACTTGAGATTACATGAGATCAAATTGGCTAATCAAGCCTTCCAACGAGCCCAGCAATCCTCTCCGATTTATCCGAACGCTTGGATAGGCCAGGCTATGATTGCGGAGACCATCAACGAAGAAGAAGAAGCTTTAGATTTATTCAGACACTGTCAACAATTTGAATTTCATAGTGAGTCTGCTCTGGGCTACGCTCACTGGGTTTGCAATATGCTTTGCGATCCAGGCAAATGTGAGTTACCGCATTACAAACATGCCATTAACAATATGCATGCTGATGTAATGGCCCTGGATGCGATTAATTGGTACTTCTTTAACACATCCTAAGCGAAGTGTATATAATGTTTGAATTAATCTTTTCTCGTAAAGGTACGTGATTAATGAAGAAAAAGAGACCAGTGTGTCGGCACTTTCACTTCAAGGATTTTTAAGTGAACGTCAAAAACTATATCGGCCCGCTGTCAAAGCGTATACGGCAGCTGCATCCAAGGCCACAATAGGCACGGAACGTGATTTAATTTTTACTAACCTGGGTTTTGCGCATTTGAAATTGAACGAACCTACCGAGGCTATAAATGCGTTTAATAAGGTTTCACAAGCTTCCTTTAAACCCATTATAGGCTTAGCTTTAGCGTATTTTAAAGCAGGCCAACATCAAGAGGCTTATTCCGTCTACAATTCGGTGCTTAAAAGTGTAGTTGGCGCAGAAGATGATAAAGCAGCTCGCATTTTAGTAGCTATGGCTTCAATGGTTTATGCCTTCCAAGGTGAAGCAGATACGAAAACTATTTTATATCAATGGTAAGTAGAACGAATAAGAAAATTATATTCGATCGTGATCGATTCTTTTATACTCGTCACCGTTATAATATTGAGTGGGCGCAGCTGATTTTTTCAATTTTCAGAATAAAAGTTGGGAAATTTATATGGTGTACTAGTAGTATTTTGTGAGTGCAAAGCCAAAAACACGGAAAGCGAAGGTGCTCGCAGTTTTTGTTGCATAGGCATGTAGGCGTTGCAGGCAAGCCCTTTGACGTGCTTGGATTATTTTTATTATATTCTTTTGTAGATTTGTTAGCGATGTCTTAATTTTTGCGAAGAGACGAATATTTACCACAGATAGCACATAGATTGACCGACGTACAGACGGAAACGGTTCCGAATTGCATTCAGAATTTGAAGTTATCTGAGTTTTTATAGGCTTTACGCGGTGTTTGAAGCTTGCTTCTGCGAGCTATAAAGGTATTAAGAAAAAATTAAATTTTGATGCATTATGACATTTTTTTGCATATACTACAGCGTCGCCCATAGAATATACGCTTTAAGTCTTCTAGATGTATCTGCTGTATGAGTAATGAGCAAAAAATGAATTTTTTCTGCCTATTGAGAAGCAGGAATGTTCTTAGTTGACATAGTACAGTAGACGTGTTCTTCGACTGATTTGATTCAGTTTCAATATCATCCTACGCTCAAGAACTTCCAATGTTTTTGGTAAATTTGAAGTGCTTAGCATCTTTTTTGCGGCCAGAGAAACGACATGTAAATGACATTACACAGGCGGGCAGACGGACATGGCTAATTCGATGCAGAATTTGCAAGCCCTCATTCCTTGGTGGCGGGTATAGTAAGGTCTATGCTTTAGATAATTTTGTAATTTTTCTTTCATTTTCTTCTCTCCGTCATAGCATACTTTTAAAGAATTCTCCCGTACAAGCATTGTACTCGGCTTGTGCTTTGGGAATTTTGCATCAGGATACGCAATTAACGGAGACCATCTTAAATGAGCTAAGAAAATATGAGAATTCGATAGAGCACATAGCTCATGTTGCATATTTAAGGGCTCAATACTATCTATCGATTGTAAGCCATTTTCATATAAGAGATTTTTTATATTAACGAACGAAGGAGGAGATGTTTTACTTATTTTCAAATTTGATCTGCGATGGGAACAGACATAATGTGTTTACCTTTCGACTTGTCCGTCCATTTGGCTCATAAATTCATCCGAGAGAGTTTTGAACGCGATCGATTCACGAGAATTTGTTTGATTTTCAAAGAAATGAAAAAAAGTTCAAAAACATTCATCCATAAGTAAAACAAATCGCTCCTTTGCTAGTTTATATCCGAATACCGATTTGTCAGTTGCTTTGTCCCTTATATATGAATTTTCATATTTTTCTTTTTATTTTTTCTTCTTTTAGCAAAAACCACGTAATGCTCTTATCTCTTTGATGACACGTGTACACATCTTTCCGCAGTGTGCTGCTCTACGTAAAGTTCTGGCCAACTTTCTATTAGACAACTACGGACATAAACGTCAATATCATGCAGCCACTAGTCAAATAGCTTTAAGTGCTATTAGTTTAGTGCATGGCAGTAAAACTAACAAGTTTGTATTTACCATGTTTTTACATATGCATATCTGTTTGCACAAACACAAACACAAACACCAACGCATTCTTAGTATATTCCCTATCAGTGGCATTTATTTAAACTATCTATACATATACATATATACATAAACATATGCGTGCGGGCGTGTTTAAAGTTTGAACTTTTGTCTCTTTTAAGAAATGATTGCATCGAGGATTCTCAAACTTTACTAATCGCCAGTCGTGCTCTCCAGCCGGTCGATAAGCAGAATTCTTTGAAACTAATACAACGTGCCGTACACTTGTATCCAAATAATCCGAACGCTTGGAATTCTCTCTTGCAAGTGCATTAAGTTCAGCCAACAGGAAAGAATATGATTTTATATAAACATACATATATATATATATATATATATCTATGTATTTATTCCAATTTTTTATAATAAATGGTTTTACTTTAATTAGAAAGTTGTTTAATGTTTGTTTTCTTGTTTGTTTCTTAAAAGTATTGAGTGGTGGTTTTCTTCAACTTTTATATGCTGAAGCTGAAGCTGAAAAACCGCAAGAATAAATTAAACAATAGATTCAATTTAATAACAGATTCATTCTTAATTGCCCATTGATATTAAATGAAACTGAACTTATCTCCAACCACGATAGCTTCATACACATAATGAAGAGAACAATTTCAAATTCCATTCTTATGCTTACTGCCGGAAGAAAGGGGTATACTAGATATGTCCTCGAATTGATAACATCCAGCACTGTAATACAGCATATTGGTCAGCATAAGCTTCTGAGATTATATCTGCTAATGTCTATCCATAGCCATAAGGGTTACTGCTGACGATCACGAATGAAGCTTTAACATAGACGTAAAGAAATAACTATGTGAGTATTACGGGGCACGCATTAAAGCTGCGATTGCACACTCATACTAGTTAAAGTATTGTCCATCGCATGTGTATACCGACTTGTTAATCGTGCTTCTTAACTACTTAACTAAGCCCCCAGCCTTACTTGAGATATGGTCGATGGTTTCTTTTGCATTACACGTATGGATTTCTTCTTTTATTACATATATATTTTTGATCTATCTAAGGAAATAATCAATAAATATTATGTCCAGATGAGAAAGAAAACAGAGGTTATTGTGACTAATGGGGACAATATAACAATATAGGTATGACGTTTAAATAAATAACAAGTAAGAGCCCTATAGAGAATAAGACAAAGAGATAAAATTAGAGCGATGCGAACAATTCTGAATTGAAAAGAGTAGGCTTACTTTGAGTGCTTCTGCACAATTGGTGTAGGGCATTGGGCAAAAGAAACTATATGGACTTGGAAAATTCATTAACACTATTTACAAAACAAAATTATATTAATTTCTGGATAGAAGATCCGGTTATGATGTCTTATCAATTATTTTATTTCATTGGATGCATGCAGAGGAGATATTGTAGAGGGATTTATGTGATTTGAGGAAATGCGTTGAATTCGATTCTTGATGAATGGAAAATCCAAGTTATCGTGAATAGTTTTGTTGCTAACGAACTAAGGGGCATTAACAATAAGACGGAGGATTTTAGTTTGATATTTCTGAAGTGTTCCATTATCAGAGTCGCTGGCAGGATTCAACAGTTGTATGCTGCATGTCGAAGCAGGTTTGAGGTTATTCTTGTCTATACAATGCAATGCATTTATTTCCAAGACAAAGAGTAAAAAATAGTGTGCTTCGCTTGGAAAGCTTTTACACCAACACTGATGTGATGTTACGATAAATAGTCAGAGATACTTATTAGAGACTTCAAGCAGAGCATTTTTTCTTGTATAAGATTTTGATTCAATTCAACCATCCCTTATAGGCTATAGACTGACATTGAAGCTCTTACGGTGACGATAATTAAGATAAGAAGGCCGAAACTTAGTGTGCATGTTGTTGATTGTTGTTGGTGGTGAATTTAGTATTTCGCCAAGATATTTGCTATGAATAGAGAGAGGATCGACCAATTCATGCCCTTGTAATCCATATTAAAAATCCTGCGCTTGTTAAAGTCGCGAGTATCTAACGTTCGCTCTAATATGCATATGCATGTTTTCCATGTTTAAACGATAATAATTGAATTAACAGGTATTATAGAGATTCTCATCAAGCCGGATAAAATTTTCTCTTTTGTTAATGCTTATGTTTAGAATTATTGAAGTGGAATAAATTTCTCAGATTGGAGTGCAATGGCCGCTTAAACCACAATCAATGAATGAGTGCATTCTCTCTCTGTCTCTCTCTCTCTCTCTCTCTCTCTCTCTCTCTCTCTGTGTGTGTGTGTGTGTGTATGTATTTGTTACTTATTTCAATGCAAATTGATATCAAAAGTTCTAACTAACGGAGACGGAAATGACAACTGAAACATTGCAAATGTCTAACGAAGTTAGAAATAAAATGAGTGTCAAGTGTTAATTTATGAAAACCATTCGATTTTATCAGGTATGTCTGTTTTTGTATTTACAAGTAATTTAAATGAAATGCCTAGAGTTTCATATGCCCCGTAGGAGGTATATTTATTTTGCTAAATATATGTAACGCATAAATGTACTGTGAAGTAAATATACTCTTGATCGTCTGAGACATCTACCTTCTGTCTTGTACTTGTCATCTGACCCTCTCTTCAAATTATGCCGCAATGCTAAATCCGAAAATGAGTTTGAAAGGTCAATGAAATCATCCACAGTTAAGTCCAGTTGTCTACAAATGATCTAAATTCCAGGTTCGAGTCGATTCTAAGACATCTTGTGGTTCAAACTTTGCATAGCTTCTAGTTTTGAGCTTTAAGTTGATTCTAAAATATTTCTTTAACAACATTTTTCTAGCGAGTTCGAATATCCGCTAATTTGGCAAACATGGCATTTACCTGACACCACTTACTTACTCACTTACTTATATATATAGCTGTGTGTATTGTGCAGAAGGACTTGTAAGAGACTTACCTTTTATTATATCCATTGATTTCTAAATCGATCCAAGTTTGTCTGTCCATCCGTCCGTCATGTATTTGTATGAAAACCTATATGCCGCTATATTTGAGATACATTGACGAAATTTGGTACACTGTTGTGTCTTGGCCCAAGGACACACGGTGTTAAAAATGGTTCCATTCGGAACGCTTTTTTGACTGCTTCTTATATAACGCCTTATAATGAACGTTATATGCATATCAGTAGATGGTGTAGAATGTTTAATGGTGAGTCATGGCCTATTAGAGTGTTTTTATTATTAGAATTAATATATCAAGCGAATGGTTGTGGTCGAATTTCTTTCTCCTTCAGTCACAGATCGCGTAGAAATTTTCAGTGGGCTTTAGAAAACCCGGTCTAAGTTGACTACAAATTGCTTTTCGTTTCTCCTGGTTTTAGTAAATTGCTTTTGTTGCCATTATTCGATGAATTCCTCACAGTTACTCCAATTACCTTATAGTGATTATGGGGTTATTACAGAACACTCGAAAATTTGAAATCTTTCTCTTGACATTCTACATTTAGCAAGCATTCTTAGATTAGATTCTACTATGTTATGTGGAACGGGTTAATTATATATATTCCTTTACGAAATGTGTGCCATTATTTTACATGTGCAATGCTGCTTCATTATAATGTACACCGCTTGTGGCACAAGGTTTTATTAAGTTTTAGCGGACATACACAACACCCAGAAGGACTTAAGATAGATCCGCCGCTTTTTACACCGATCGAGTCAGAATCAGTTTCTAAATCGGTTTCTTCAAAATCACTTTCTGGATCAATTTGGGCTTGTTTGTCCGTCTGTCCGTGTTCTTTTTCTATGTTCAACCTACAGGCCAGGTTAAGTTTAGTGGGCTGATGTGTTTTGGTCCAAGGGTGAATGTTGCCATAGATGGTTTGGATCGAACCATTTTTTCGATCCATATAACGCGTGTGTATTAAGTGAACTCGCGTAGCGTTTTGTTTTTTTATTTACATCAAAACCCTTTAATAGGATGCTTACGCTTGCATAGCGCGTTTCTATGAATTTTTCCTTAAAAAATATTTGAAGTATGATTATGTGCTCTTTACCTTGCAGATACGCGTGAGCGATGAACCAAATACAACAACAAAGAAGCGCTAGGTATAAAATGATTCGTCGTAAACCGAACAAAAATTGGTTATTGTTTTATTTTTTTCAAAGTTTTAACACCTTTTGTTTGTCAATCTTATTTTCTTAACTCTTGGTAAAGTTTTCAATTAAACATACATGTATATGCACATAGAGAAATATGTGTGTTGCAGGTGTATAATAATATCTGCCGTAATAGAATGTGCTTTTAAAGTCTGATATCATACGCATATGCATATGTATATGGCGTTTATCTCTATTTCCATCTCATAAATATTGATGTATACATGTGTTCATACGCATAAACCTATATATGTGTAAATAGGGACACATTTGCAAATGCTATTGACTTTTAAAATAAATATATAGTAAAGTTTGAAAGCACAGACGAAGGCGATGAATAATAGAAGAAGAAAAAAAAAAAAAAATGAAAGCTTTATATATGTTTTCTATGTGTCAAATGTCTGTCTGACAGTATTCTGCATATGTGTATTATTTCCCGCCAGTACACATATATTTCTAATGTGATATCTGCGCATTATATATACATATATAGAACATATATTATTGTGATCAAAAAATAAAGTAAATTTATTTATATCGGCTTTCAATTATTCCCCGTTGAGCATAATCGTCTTTATGGCGTCATTGTCTCCAATTCTCCAAAGAGTCAGAGAGACGCCTTTTTGGGCATGGCCTTCAATACTTTCGTCGATCGGGCGTCTATCTCCTCAAGGCGCCTTTTTTAAACGGTTCGATGGGATCCAAATAAAATGCCCACAGCATCGTTAGGTCTCCCTTTTTATGACAACTCACTACGTAAATGTTCCCTGCGCGGATGAAGATGATGCGGTGATGATGATGAAAAGAAGTCGGGAAAGGGTAGTCGCACCCTATATTTTCGAGCACTAAATGTTTGAATTCCTTGATAGCGCTTTCGTCGGTCCAAGGTCACTATTCCTCCTAAACTCGTACTCGCTTTTTCTTTAATATTTTTTTAGGCATTTTCTTTTTTGCTACGTAGCCTCACCACCAAAGACCCTGTTCACCATCCACCATGTGTCTGCGGCAGATTCTTTGATCCGCAAACAAAATTTAATGCAAATACTTTGCTGGACAACATCGGACATAGCAAAATTCGCTTGTGTACCTTCACAAAAACATTTGTAACGCTGCAGACTTCAAACTCTACATACACGGCAAAGACGGTGCTGCGAATCCACAAA